CCACAAGGTCTTTTTTTACAATTATAATTATAAACATAGTCTTTCTTACCCTTGTCTGAAAGTGTATTTTGCATAAAAGTACATTTCTAAAGCAATTTTTAATAGATTCTCAAATCTGAAAGATGAAATTTTGATGTTTCCTATCTTGCTTCTGTCTAGTTTCAGGCTTATAAAAATAAATCAAAGTGAAAAGAATACATAAGTTGAGTAAGGGTGAGTGCTAGCTAAGCTATAGTTATGTGTAACGGCTATTAAATATTCCAAAAACATGTCAAAAGCAGTCCTATAAACTTTTTTTCTTTGATTAGAGAAATGTTTAAGTGGACAACAAGAGCAGTTTACAAACTAGTTACATATAATGAGAACTATCTTTTCTAAAAATGCATGTATAGGTATATGTGTATGTGTATACACAGAAAAAACTCTGGAAATTCACCCCAAATGTTAAAACTGATTTTTTTTCCTGGGTCTTGAGATTTCATGGGATTATTATTTCTGTTTACTTATTTGCATTTTCTAATTTTCTTACAATGAATATGTATTTTGGACAGAAAACGAAGGGTTTCCTTTTTCCTTTTTTTTTTTTTTAATGTTTACTTAAATGTTACAGAGAATCAAATCTGGAGTGGAGGGGAGGACCAGAAAGCAAAGTCCAGGATGATTGCAAATGAAAGGTTCTCCAGATTGAACAGAATATGGGCAGGAGTCCATTTGATATTGGAGTGGTGTTTGTGTGTGGAAATTGTTTTCTGTTGTGTGAAATGCAATCATAGGAAAATAATGTGTAGTTGTTCTGCAAACTGAATTTTCCCCCTCTTGCTTCTAGAGACCTTCCTCTGAGAAATCAAGGTTTAGGCTTAAAGCAATTATGCACTGGGTAGGAAGGCCAATTCAAAGCAAAGAAGGAACATAAAGATCTCTGCCCATACAAGTACTATTTTCTCTCCTTGTTTAAATTTGAGGCCTCCTCTCCTGTTTTTTAATTCTCTTTCCTCTTAACAAATACCTAGGGCACTTTTTCTATGCTCATTAAATCATGGGAGAGAAAAAGAAGTCAGCACTGACCTAGGAGCTAACAATCTAACTGAGCAAAATAAGGCAAATATTTAAAAAGTTAACCAAAAATAGAGGGGCAGTGTATACCTAGGCATTAAATGATTTGACTTACACAGAGAAGTCCTAGAGCAGTTCAGGGAGTGACTGGTAACTTTACTGTGTGGTCATGGTCTAGATCAGCACTGTTTCATAGAACTTTCTACAATGATGGAAATGTTCCTTCTGTGCTCATTAGCACACTAGCCACTAGCCACATTTGCTATACTGAGTACCTGAAATGTGGTTAGTATGATTCAGGAATTGAATTAATTTTATTTAATTTAAATGGCTATATATAATTGGTAATTACCACATTGAAGACTATAGGCAAAGCTCTAGAAGGTACCAATAGTTAAAGTAGGACTTGTCCTGTTAGTTGAAGAAAGGGGAGGATTTGAATAGCTAATAAAGAAACGCATTCCAGAAGAAAAAGCATGAGTAAATTGTGCTCAGTTCACACTGAAAGTATGAAAGTATTTGGAGGCAGGTGTGTCAAAGTGTTTGGATGAGGGATTGTGATGGGTTGCTATACTGGGCAGACCATGCATCTCAGAGTTAGGATTTGAAGCTGTAGGTAACAGGGAATCTTGGATTTTTTTTGTTTGTTTTTTTGTTTTTTAAATTGAGGTATAATGTCAATTGACATATAACATTATACTAGTTTCGAGTATACAACATAATGATTTAATATTTGTATAATTATTTCTGATCAGTGGATAATGATAGCTCTTACCATATGCCAGGCATTATGTTAAGTGTCTCACA